CTTCTGTGCCACTGGAGAGGACCAGCATCACAGTCCTGAGGAATTTTAAAGAGTAAAGAAGCACATCTGACTGTTTTTTCTGAGCTTTCCCATACCTTTCCTCAGCTTTTCCAAAACTTTCAGGTGTTGGTTTTGATGCATAGCCCCTGGAGAAAGAGAGGCGTCATTCCTGGGGGAAACGATTGCAATCCAGATAGGAGTGCCTGAGCCCATTCCTGGGCTTCCTTTATCATTGGCTGCAGTGTGATTCCTCTGCTCCTGTGGAAAGTCCTGTTTCCCTGGTCTGGTCAGATGAAGACACCTGAGCATCTTTTTCTCTTTGAATCTAGAAGTCTTGAGAGCGTTTTGTAGGTGTCTATGTATTTAAGCAAAGTGAGAGGCATCAGCCTTGGGTGTGTCCAGTACCACATACAAAATAATGTCATCCCTACTGTTGTACTTCTAGTCAGTGTTTCCTCTGGTACAGCCAGGAGGAACTGCCCCTGAACTGCAGCAGTGCACCAGCTGCTGCTGGAGGTAGGATTGTTGCTGTGACCAATGAGCCTTTTCAGTGTGTCCAGGATACAGAATATTTGGTCTCACTTTATCAGTAACTCAGAAGGCTCTGTTTAACTGGACTGGCTACTGTCACAGTTTGCTTGCTATTTGGGAAAATTATCATCCTCTTTTCTTCCTTTTTTATTTTTAAATTTTCTTGAGTGGTGAAGCAGAGCTGACCTGAGAATGCTCACTTTTCCAAAAGAGAGAAAAATAGGAAGTTCATACATCCATGTCAGATTGTTCCATATTTCCAAGCTTTATCAGATTTATTCAACAATTCCTGTTTAAACATCCCCCAGCAATATTAATTAAGATTCATGATACTCCCAGTGTTTGAATCCTGCACCATTCCTTCTGATACTTTGATACTGGTGACAGACTGGAGAAGAACAGCCATGGACAGCCAGGGCCGTTTGGGTTGGAGGTACACGTGGAGGTGTCTGGTCCAAGCCCTAACTCCAAGCATGATCAGCTCAAAGCAACCACTACATCAAAGATAATATTTTACATTGGCCATTTCCTCTCAGTCTTATAAATGTGCACTTTATTTGTAATACTAATGTGTTCAGGTTCTCTTTCCAAACACTGAGGTTACTTCTGGCTATGCTAAGAAGTTAAATGGTCTTCAGCTAGGAGAATTCTCATGGATATCTCTAAATATATTTGTAGAAGATGTTGCTTTACATCTTCTCTATCTCCTTATTAAGCTAATTAGATTGAGCCTCTTTCATTTCTGGCAGTAAATCATGTCACGTGGGGAGGTGTTAGGGAGTTCCAGGGCCACCTCTGGTAGAGCTCTGAGTATTTCCATGGATGGAGGTGCCACAGCCTGTCTGGTGCCCTGTGGCAGTGTCAGACCACTCTCATAGTGGCGGCAGGGGGGAGGGAGGAATAACTACAAACATCTGTTTGGAATTTTTCTTCTTGCAGCTTGTGTCATCTGTGTCATTCACCATGTGCCTGACTGTCTTCTCCACACCCTCTCATTCAGGGTGTGGAGAAGAGAAGGCAGCAAAAGGTCTTTGCCTTCTCCAGGCTGAGTAAACCCAGTTCCTTCAGTGTCTCCATGTGTGTCATGGCTCCAGCCCGTGGTCATCTTGGTGGCCTCTTCTGGACTCAGCCCAGCCCATCTGTGCCTCTGTCACATTGGGCAGTCCCAAACCAGACACGGCGCTCTAGAGATAGCCTCAGGAGAGCCAGAGAGGAAGGATCATCTCCCTCAACCTGCTGGCTGCACACATGCTGACACAGCCCCGTCTCTGGTTGGCCTGTTTAGCCAGAAAAGCACACTGCTGACCTCTGCTCAACATCCCAGTGTCAGGACTCCCCAGACCCCTTTCTGTGAAGCCACCATCCCCAGCCTGTTGTGCCACAGGGGCAGGACTCAGGCTTTATTTTTCTGAGGCAGCTGTCCACCTCTTTCTTCTGCCTATTGGAGTCCCTCTGAATAGCAGCACTGCCCTCCAGTACATCAGCCATGTTCCCCTCCACCTCCCAGTTTAGCATCATGCACTAACTTGCTGAAAACATGCTCCATCCCATCATCTCTGTCATTAATAGGGACACTGAACTTTATCAGCCCCTGAGGAACACCTCTAGTAATTCATTCATGTAATTAATTGCTGAGTTTAATTTTCTACCTCATTTGAAAATTTCAGTGTTTCCTTCTAAATCAGGTTCTCCTCTGAGCAGCCTCTGAAATCCACAGAGATCAATGACTTAGTCCCAACATCCGTCTCCTGCTCTTTATGACCCATGACCTGTGACGGTGTAGCCAGAGGGTCTAAATCCTAATGCATGTTCTGCAGTGAGCTCTTCACTCAACTTTATCCTGTGCAGACACAAAAGCATGTTATCAGCCTTGTAGAAACCAACTTTAGGAGCATGGTTTGGTGGAGCAACAAGATGGGTGTTTGACCAGCAATACTGTGTCCCTTCTCAGGGATCTGTGCCCGTAACCTCCTTCCTTCCTGGTGGAGTCTGTGTTGGACCACCCCGGGTCACCTCCTGGGGCAATCATTACTTCTGTCTGCAGAAGCCTGTTGTCTCCAGGACAAGGTCACCTGTCTGTTCCTCTCCCAATTGCTCACTGAGCTCGAGCCTCTACTGGTCTCCACAGTCAGGCTTCCTGATGGTGCCAGATGTGTGAGAGCAGGGGTCCTACTCCATCCAGGTAGCAGCTGATGCTGCAGTAATATTTGGAATGCAGAAGAAGAGAGAGTAAAGGGAAGAGCAACCCCTCTGCCCACCTGCCTGTGGAGGTATCTCTCTATTTCTTACCCCTTCCCACAAAGGGGATGTGGGACTGGTTCCCCTGGCAGAGCTTGCTGAGCCACTGTGGTGTCTGTCACTTGGGAGCCAGAGTCATCTCATCCTGGCTGATATGACACTCGCAGGCCACATGCAGCTCTGTTCCCCAGGCTCTGCAGAAATGACTGGGGAGGAGCTGTGGCCTGAAGGCCAGTCCTGCACACCTGCCCTGCCCCATAGCCAGTGCTGCACACCTGCCCTGCCCCATAGCCAGTGCTGCACACCAGCATTTCATACCAACACCACACACCTGCACTGCACCCAAGTCCTGCCCCAAAGCACCCCAGCACTGCCCCAAACCAGCACTGCCTGCCAGCCCTGTGCGGCTCTGCCTGCATCACCCTCTGGCTGTCCTGTTCTCACTGCCCAGGCAGTAGCTGGTGCTGGGTTAGCCATGAACTCCCAGCTCCTAGGCTTGCTAGGGACACGGCTTTGTTTTCAGGGCGCGTGGAGCTGCACTCTCTGGCCTTTCCTGTGCCGCTCTGGTTTCTCAGAGTCCTGTCGGGTCTGAGCAGCCCTTGCTGCCTGCCAGCAGCTGCACAGCAGGGCCATGGCCTGCGTGGCCTCCACAGTGTGTGGACAGCATCAAGGAGGGTGGTCCAGGGGTGGGACATGGCTGTGGTGGTGAAGGAGGGGACAGGCACGCAGGGCACCGAGGTTCCTCTCCAGGTGCTCTTTGTGGTGCATCTTTCAGGTGCCTTAGGAGCATGAGACCAGCTAAATAGGTTGGTGGCCTGCCCTGAGTGAGGGACGTCCTTCGGGCCATGGGTCGCAGGGTGCCGTCACGTACCGGGGGTGTCCCTGGACAGGTGCCTGTGCATAGCCTGGGTCCCCCAGCCCGGACACAAGTGAATCCCCTCCAGCCCATGGTTGTGTTGGGGCACTGCTGTCTCCCTCACCAGCCCTGTCTCCTCCCCAAATCCTGCTCGTTGCTTCTTGGAGCTGTGAAATAGGAAACTCCCAAGTGTTTCCTCTGCAGAGCTCCACAAGAATTCTGGAGGTCAAGTCCTGCTCCGAGGCAGACAGCCTGAGCAAGGATAAAGGTGAAAGACCTGCAGCCACCCTCCCTCCCCTCAGGTTTGCAGTAGCCCTTGCACACTTTGGGGCCATGCCTCAGGCCCAGGACAGGGTGGTGCTCATGCTAAGTTCCAAAGGGGACTTCAGATCCTCCCTGCTGCCCAGGGCACGCTCCCTGGTACTCCCTGCCAAGCACTGAGGGGCTATGTGAAAAACAGCCGATCAGCTGTGAGCTGAGCTGGGAGGAGAGTGTGCCGGTGTGCTTTAATCACTACTCGCTGTCAGCAGCAGCAAGGGAGGCACAAGAGACTGCTCAGCTCCTGGGTGGGCGACTGGGTGGCAGCCGAGGGCAATGACAGCTTTTGAAACAGGAGGGAGAAACTTGAAACTCACTGGCATAATGTCCTTGGGATGTGACTGCAGCCCAGGTGAAGCTTTCTGCCAAGCAGCCTGGGATGTGGGAGAAATACTGGCAGCAATGGACAGTGCTGAATGGCAGCAGCTCCCAATCTCTCCTGCAAGCAGTGTGAGGGGCTTGCCCCCTCCTCAGTGGTCACTATGTGGCTGGGGGCTGCATTTTTCTAATTATGGTTCCCAAATCTTCATCACTAAGGCATCTTCAGGAGACTGGTGCAGTGCTGGACAGAGAGGTGTTTGCTGCATGGGCATGTCTGTGTAGAGGGAGGACCAGAGTCCTGCACGAGCTGCAGTGGCTCTGGACCACTGCGTGAGGATCTGCTGTTGGTGCTCACACCACCTGTGCAGACCACCAGGGACACTTCCTGCCCTCATCTATTGGGAACAGGCTATTTCTGAAAACCCGAAGTAAATGAACTCTGGTCTTCTGTGCAGTTTCATTTTTCCTCATTTAGCACTCAGAAATGTGTTTAATTTAAAATTTGTTTATATAGCCATTTATAGTCTAACTTATGCTGTGAGAATATTTATATTCTGAGCTCTTACATTGATTGTAAGCATTTTTTCTTTCAGGGTGAGATTGCCTCCGTTCCTCCTGGAACATACCAGGAATACCCAGGGTGTTGAAGACCACATACCAGGAATACCCAGGGTGTTGAAGACCACACCGTTCACCCAGCCTGAGCAAAGCTTTCACCTAAAGGAATAAAACAAACATGGCAGAATTTACAGGCTACAAGGAAACCTCCAATCGTCACCTGCGTTTCAAATTGCAGAGCCTCGGTCGCCGCCTTGATGAACTGGAGGAAGCAACCAAAAACCTGCAGAAAGCAGAGGATGAACTGCTTGAGCTCCAGGACAAAGTTATCCAGGCAGAAGGCAGCAATTCCAGCATGCTGGCTGACATTGAAGCCCTGCGGAAGAGGGTGCTGAAGATCGAGGGCAAGGATGAAGAAATTAGGAAGGCTGAAGAACTTTGCCGGTTAATGAAAGAAAAACTCGAAGAGGAGGAGAGTATCACTCGAGGGCTGAAGTCAGAAATTGAGCACCTTCAGAGGAGAATGGCAGAGCTGGAGAAGCTGGAAGAGGCCTTTGGCAGGAGCAAGAATGACTGTACACAGCTGTGTCTGAGTCTCAATGAAGAAAAGAACTTGACCAAAAAAATATCTACAGAATTAGAAATACTCAGAGTGAAAGTGAAAGAACTGGAAGCATCTGAGGACAGGCTGGATAAAACCGAGCAGAGCTTAACGAGCGAGTTAGAAAAGATGAAATCCTTAGCCCTGAGCTTTATCACAGAGAGAAAACATTTTAATGAAAGAGAAAAACAGAATGAAAAAATAATCCAAGAGCTAACACAGAAACTAGAACAAAACAATAAACTAAATAGAGCAGATCAAACTAGAAATGCATCCAACTTGCTAGAAAGGTCATCCAATAATCTCCTAGAGAGAAATGATTTGAGAATTGAAGATGACTTGACTTCTGCGCTGCCTTCTAAGGAGACCAGGAGGAAGGGAAGTGTGGATTACCTGAAACATGTAGAAAATGAAACCAGGAATAAATCAGAAAACCAAAAGAATAAAAACCAGGAAGACAACAAAGTGAAAGATCTCACCCAAGAAATTGAGAAACTTAAAAGTCAGATCAAGCGTTTTGAATCTTTAGAAGAAGAACTTAAAAAAATGAGAGCAAAAAACAGTGACCTGCAAGACAGTTACTTGAGTGAACAGAATAAAAACAAACTCTTAACAGGCCAGCTAGAAGAAATAAAAATGCAAATAAAGAAACAAAAAGATCTGGAGAATGGAGAGGTGGAAAATGAAGAGACAAGCGTTCCTAGCAAGGGAAAACACGACCGACCTAAATACAGAGGTGTCATGGCTGATTTGACAGCTGCCAAGCACAAAGCAAGGGAGCTGTCACCACAGCAGCGCCGGG